CCCCCCCCCCCACGCCCCGGGCTCCCCAGTCCTATGGAAGCTCTTCCTCCTGCAGCTGGAGTTCCCTGCGCCCCTGCAAACACACACCTCCCGAACCTTCAGCGTTTCCCGGGCCTTCCAAACTCCAACCCACTGTTCCAAGTCATCGTAGATCCTGGGAAATGGCTCCTTACCCAAAAATCTCCTGGGCTTCCCTGACAGTCTCACCCCGCCTTTCCCACACACCTTCTGAGACCTTCAGAATTTCTCAGGCCCAGAGAATGTCCTCAGCCTCTCCAAAACTCAACTCGCTGTCCCTTGCACACCCCGAAGCCACTTACTTATTCCTGGTCCTCGGTGCCCAGGCCTTATAAACACCTCCTCCCGTGTCGTCGTTGCCCCAGATCCTCTGAAGTCCCCTCTCTAACTCTCCCTCTTTGGGGCCCTCCCTCATTCTCCCTGGGCCCAACTCCTAGATCTATTTCTCTCTGACTTTGGACCTGGCTGTTTGTGATCTTCTGCTCTTAGCTCTCATAATTCTAGAAGATCCCCACCCCTACAGATCCCTTAGGGCCTTACTGAACCTCCAAACTACTGCTTCCAGTCAGGACAGTTTCCCCACGACCTAGCTGCAACGTTGAGTCCGAAGGTGTGTGTGGGGTCCTTTCTAAATTCCCCTCCCCCATAGAGCTCAGAGCCAACTCCTCTTGTGTCTCCAAAAGGACCCCCGTGCAGTATACCTCTCCTCTAGCACCCCCAGTGTGTGTCTTCTCCCCGAATTGCCCCCAGTTTGCAGCATAACCCTTCCCTCCAACTGTACACTTGTCCTCTACCTCTGGGATTCCTTTCCATTTCCATTCCTCCCTCCCCAGTTACTCTTTCTTTCTCTGCCAAGTGACTTTCAGAAGTTTGAGTCCCCTCAAATCTAGAGACCTGTCTCCTGCTACTCACCCCCAAGTCAGCTCAGAAACTTCTCAGATGGTTTCAATTCCCACCCTGTGCCCTCTTGAGATAGCTCAACCCGGTGGGTTCTCCCCTCTCAGCCTTGTGCCCCCCTTCTCAAGCTCCCCCTACCATCACTCCTCTATTTGCCTCTCCTGATATAAACCCAGAACCCTAGAATCTACCAGATTCCCTCAGAGGTCTCTCCTGGAAAAGTTTGTAAGCCTCAGTAACTTCCCAGGCTTTTTGGATACCCTTCCTAAACTTCCTCCGGGGCGGGAGACCCTGGAGGAGGGTGTGCGGGAATAGCAAGGGAGTAAGTTCAGGAAAAGAGAGGATGGTAGCAAAA